TGGCGTCGCGAAGTGCGCGGTGTGCGACGCGCGCCATCACGCGCTGGCACGAGAAGATCCAAGTCGCCTTTGAGCGCGTGTGCATTCTGCTGGTCGAGCAGTCGCCCCACGCGGTGCGCGGGGTGCTGGAGGTGGCGATGCGGCCCTTCCAGATGCGGCCTCCGGTCGCTGACGGTGCCCGGCGACTGCTGCCCGCCGACTCGATCATGCGCTTGATGAATACCGTCGCGGCGAAGTACCCAGGTGGCGTCGTGCTCGACGTGCTGGAGCAGTGCATGCGGTCGCTGGTGCCGAAGCGGCGGTGGGCGGAGCAGCGGCACCACATGGCGTGCATTGCGCTCTTCCTGCACCTCGCGCTGGAGGCGCACATCCCGCTGTACCCCGCGCACGACTGGGGCGAGGACCACCTGCTTGGCAACAATAACAATGACGTCGCCGATACGTCGAAAGGGGCAGTGGGCAACGCATCGTTTCGTGGCTCGGAGGATAGCGGCACCGATGCTGGCGCATCGTCTGCATCTCATCGAAAAGACTGTCTTCGTCCGCTTGAGATGACAGCTCCAATGATGTCTGCAAGCGACGCGGACTTTAGCGACGCGTCAATCAGCCTGGCCTCACCAACTGGAGTGCATCCCTTCGCGACACGCTTCACGGAGTTCACGACGCAGAACAATAGAATGCTGGCATATCGTAACGAGCTTATCCGATTTGTTTTGCAGCAGTTGTTGAACATGGAGCTCTCGCTACAAAGCAGCGATGGTGCACCACTGCAGGATTTGGCTTCCTCATCCACTTCACTTGGCTGCTGCGGCAACACCACGGATTCTATTCGCGTGCTGGCGGGTCCTTCATTCGGGCGTGTGAAGGAGCAATCACTGGAGAAGCCCTTTGTGGAGATTCTCCGAAACAGCACGAGTCTCGTTTTTCACAGGCTGGCGGAGGATCTTATGCGGCAGCAAACGGCTGGTGTTTGCGGAAATGCGGAGTGGTGGCGTGAGCTGCTTGCATTTCACCTCACCTCAGTACTCAAGATGGAGTGCCCCATCTGTCTGCTCTACTTGGCCCCAAGCCTTGCGCTGTTGGGTGGCGAGGAGGAGGCCATCGACATGATGCACAAGCTCGTCTCAGTGGTAACAAAGGGTTACCAGCCGGTGCAGCAGAACACATGGCGTGCTGCAGCTGCGGGACCGGCACGCGTGCGGATGGCGCCACCGTCTGTGGGACCTCTGATGATTCCCATGGCACACCGCGTGCGTGCTGCTGCCTACCTCTATCCGCTCTTCCACTTCCTGCGTGAGCGCCTCGGTAATGGCGAGGGGACACGCAAGCGTCTTCTGAAGTGGGTGGTCCAGGAGCTGAGGAACACCACCTTGTCATCTTCACACTCACTGTCATCCCCTAGTCTGTTGGTGCAGGTTCTCTTTGCACAGTGTGCGGCGATGTCGCAGCTCCTTGGCGCAGACTTTATTGAAGAGATAAAGTCCCACGCACCGGACTCCAAGTTGCTAAAGTCGCTGATGGATAAATATCTCCTCCCCCAGGGCGTCGAACGACGAATGGCTGATGAAGGCGGTGAGGGGCCACCAAGTGCCGGTGATCCTGTTTCTTGTAGCCAGCAGCTTGATCTCGCACAGATGGAGGCGGACGGACTGCTGCACACGCAACTGATGGGCAGCTGCCCGTGGGACTGGCGTCGGTGCCAAGGCGGGAGGGATGCTGACCGATAACGGTCTACGCCTCGCCTCTGTGTGTGTCTGCGGTGGGGGATCTGCGCATAAAAACGAACGAGCAGGAGGGAGAGAGAGAGAGAGAGAGCAATGAAAACAAAACAAAACAAAAATGGGGAAAACAAAAACACTAAACCAACGGTGACGCCGGTGACGTTCGACGATTCGCACTTTTAAGTCTGTACTGCGGTGTACGAGTGTGCATCATGCTACAAAGCTCAGACATGCCTCCTTTTTTTTGCTGTTTTAATTCGTTGTATTCTTGTATTGCGGTGTTTGCCGCGCAAAAAGGTAAGCGCCAGGCAAAGGGCCCTTCTGTGTCTGCTTGCTTGTGGGCGATAGATCTGCCACAGCTTCTGCAGTTTGTGTCTCCGGCACTTGCCACAAGACCAGGGCGAGACGCCACTGAAAAACATGTCTGCTCAACAACAAATTCCTGAGATGTGGGAGGTGATTGATGGTGAAGAAACGGCACTTCCCGCACAGAGGCACCTCGAAGAGAAGGTGAGTGAGCTGAGCTGTGCAGTACAGAAACTCCTGGACGAGCTGAAAGANCGGCACTTCCCGCACAGAGGCACCTCGAAGAGAAGGTGAGTGAGCTGAGCTGTGCAGTACAGAAACTCCTGGACGAGCTGAAAGAGTTGCACAGTGCCAATAACAGCCTCTCAGAAGAAGTGAGTGTATTGAAGCGCTCCTTCGTTGAAGCTGAGAAGAAGATAGAGGTGGAAAGAAGTCTGCGTCGTGTCAGTGAATTGGTCAGTATGAAGTTGTCTGAACTAGAGGCAACGAGCCCTTTGGGTGCTGCGCTGTACGATACAGTTCTCCAGCTCCAGATGATTCAGGCACGGCTCTCTGCTGCATTTATTTCGCTGGCCAGGAAGGATACGTTTCTAAGCGAGATACCGGATGTCCTCAGGGATATAGTGGCGATGGGTTCCAGCGCGAAATGTCACAGTTCGTCCTTCTCTCTGGGTCTCTTTTCGGCAGCGGAGGGTCTCAAGGCTGCTGTGGAAGTGTGGCGCTGTACGCCGTGTGCGGCACCCGCTGCGCTAGGGGCGGCGCAGAGTGAGGCGGGAGGTTAGGCGCCGCGCAGCACATTGGGGTGGCGAAAGACGGATCAGCAGCGTGCGTGAGAGGGCGATGTTTTTCCTCCCCATTTCGATGCCCTGCAGTTTCCCTCACTCTCTCTCTCTCTCTCTGGTCTCTACGATAATGTTGTGCCTGCCATCCGCGAGTAGTATGTGGCTCTTTTTTTTTTTGCTTTCTCTGCTAATTCGCTTATTGCTTTCCGGCTCCTCGCACGGCCCGGCCAAGTGACGCCGCCGGCACCCGAATGGTGGGCGATGTGGCGAGCTGTTGTGTGTGGCGCCACAAATGTGTGTGTGTGTGTGTGTGTGTGTAAGCGGCTCATTTCTTCTCCCACCTCGACACGCGATGAAGGAAGTAGTGGCTTTCACGCGAGAAGCCCCGTTTTGCGTGCTGCTCGTTTTTGAGGAGGAGGGGGGGGGTGTCCCTGAGCGAAGTAACGGTACCGCGAAACCAGTTTGCTTGTTTTCATATTTCCGTCCGCCGCATGCTCTACTCCACTCCCCAGCTTCGTCGAGAAGAGGAGGTGAGTGAGTGAGTGAGAGAGAGAGAGAGTGAGCGCGCGTGTGTTTGTGTGTGTGTGTGTCTGTCTGCTGCGTTGTGAAGTTCATGTGACCATTATTCATTGGTGACGGAGATCATCATTGACTGCTTAACTATCCAGAAGAGCGAATAACTTGCTGAGCATTTCTGCTCCGATGTTAAGAAAAAGGAAGAAAAGAGAGGCCGTGAAAGGAGTATGGCAAATTGTGCTGCGTGGGAGTGTGAGAAGGACGCACAATAAGATGAGGGTCGCCAGGGTTTTTGTGCCTTTGTCTGGTGCAATTGTTTGAATACTATCCCTCAGAAGTTCACCCTCACCACTTGTAGACGTCTCCCTCTCTCTCTCTCTTTGTATCCGTTGCGCTCGGTGCGCAGCACGCCTGCGAGGCACTAGGCTGTCGGTGCCTGGAGAGTGTTTAAGTTGTGCGGCGCCGCATGTCTAGAGTGTTCTTCGCGAAAGGGCAGGGGCGCCAGCAGCTGTCGTTCCAGGCGCTCCTCTCCACTCTCCGTACAGAACGAGTAGCTGCTGTTTATGAAGGATGGCACGCCTTCACCCGTGACAGGGTGGAGGGTGACGCGGAAGGAACCAGTAAGAGTACGTCACTGTATTAGGTCGCACGGCTCTGTCGGGAATAACTGGCTACACATCCAAGGACTGTTGATTCTTTTCGCCGGACAGTGTCGTGGCGGCATGCGCCTCCCTGCACTCCCCGCTGAGGTGCTTTGCAGATGCGCTGCATCTTCTCACCCCGCTGCCGATGCGTTTCTTGTCGGAGCAAATCCCCCACAGGTTCTACCAGGGAAATGATCAATGCTCCGAGTGTGTGTGCTGGCGGTGCTCCCGGTCTTTGTTGTCACCACCTGCGTCTTGCTACACTCGCATTTCTTTCTTGTGCTGAGCTGAACACGAGGGGCGTTGGGGGGTGGGGACCCGACGTTGTCTCATGGCATGTCCAGGTTTCGCGTAGATGGAGGCGTGGCGGTGAGTAAGGAAGTGTGCCTCTCAGTAGAAGAATTGCTTCCGGGCGTTGGAGAAGCCCAGTTGTTGCGTTGACTGTGTCCGGGTGGCATTGAGCGTTTTGCTTTCTGTTGTTATTTTTGTTCTCACCACCGTTGTGCCGGACCGCCTGCGATGGAGATGGCGGTTCAGGTGCTGCGCCTCCGTCGTGGGTCTCTGAGGGCTTGTCAATGCGTCGCGGCTCTGCGCATCTGCACCCATTACGGCTGCTTCGCTGGTATTCACGAGAAGTGAGGCGTTCTGCCCCCTTACCCCCAGACGTGGTCCCTTCAGCATGGACATACCCGTTCATCATCAAGTGTTGCCCCGCCAGAGAAGAGGATCGGTTACATTCACTTCTCTGTGGTGTTTGCTCATATTTTTTTTGTCTTTTGTTTGATTTTCCTGCTATCTTTTCTTTGTTGCAACTTGCACTGGGGACGTTTATGGGAGTAAAATAACCGAAGAAGTGGCTCTATGTGTTGCCTCTGCTTCTGTGTGTGTGCTTGCTGCTTCGCTCCCACCACTTTATGCCGAGGGCACGTGCTTGAATCAGGACCCAGGTGCGCTTCACGCCCTTTGACCAATTGATTGCCATGCATCATGGCTGTGCTTGGTTTTGAGGGTGCGGGTCTGTTTTACTATTGGCTTGTCGCAGACCTCATGGGAAATCACTGAACGGTTTTGAAGTTTATCTGCTGTGTTGGCGCACGCCTCCCAGCCTTCTTCTCTTGCATCTGGCGTGTGTTGCCGGTGTGTCTGTGGTGCAGTGGTGCCTGTTTTTCATTTCGGTTTGCTTTAGAACGAGATGCCTTCTGAGAATATCGATCTGGAGACTAATGGATGTAATCACTGTTATGCGCAGTGATGGAGGCAAATATGGTGAATCGTCAGTATGCTCTTCTTTATATATATATATATATATATATAATTTTTTCGGCCATCTTTGAAAGGAAAGATAAGTCATAGAATATTCCTATTTTTAATTTGCTGTTGTCTTCGTATTTGTGTGATACAGTGCCTCGCCCCGAGTGGAAGTAACCGTAGCACGGGGTAAATACATATATAGCGTGTGTTTCTTTGTCTCTACGGTGTGCGGGAGTGCCGATGCAACGCGTGCAGACCATCGCATCACAGTTGGGGCACCGGCGCTACTGCCACCTTGAGCGCACTGGTGACGTGGCAGTTCTTATCCTCCACCACGAGCAGCTCAACGCCCTCACAACGAGCATGCGTGCAGCCGTGCAGCATTACTTCCGCGAGGCGGAGGCCGATTCCGCGGTGCGCTGCATCATCATCACAGGTGCAGGTGGTGCCTTCTCCTGCGGCGTCGACCTCGCAGACTTTAAGGCGTCGGCGCTTGAGACGAATTACGACGGCGGCACCATCCCTAGCCTCGCTACGCTGACAAACATGATTGAGAGCAGCGCGAAGGTTGTCGTGGCGGCAACGCACGGTATTGTCTTCTCCGGTGGGCTGGAGCTGGCGCTCGCTGCGCACTACCGCGTCGCCACCCCGGCAGCGATCTTCTCATTCCCTGAGGTGCAATTGGGCATTGTGCCGTGCGGTGGCGGTACGCAACGGCTGCCGCGCCTCATTGGCGTCCGCGCGGCTGTGGACATGATCGCCACATCCAAGAAAGTGAGCGCGAGAGAGGCACTCGGGCTGGGGCTCGTCGACCACGTCACAGAAGGCGTTGAAAACGATACCGGAGGTGACAGGAGCAGCAGCCATAGCAGCAGCGGCAAGGGTGCCGTGGCGGAGGCAGTTCGTCTTGCTTCCAGCTGGAAAAAACCACGACGTGTGTCACACAGCAATGCAAAGCTCGGCAGTTTTCTTATCAACAGGGCGGTGCTGCGCTGGGCGGAGCGGGAGATACGAAAGAAGGCCCCGAAAGACATCCGAGCGCCCCTGCTGTGCCTCAGTGCCGTCCGCGCCGCCGCAACCATGTCATCGTTTGCAGATGGCCTTAAGGCTGAAATGACGTTCTTTATGGAGGCGCTGGAGTCACCTGAGGCGCACGCCATGCAGCATCTACTGCGCTCGTCGTACTCCGTGATGGGTAGAGGCCTCACGTCGCTGCCGTCTGTGGCAGGGGTTGGCTTGTCGATCCGCCGCCTCGGCGTTGTTGGCTGTGGGACCGTTGGCATGGGCGTCACACTTCTCGCCCTGCGGAGTTGGCTTCCCGTGACGGTTGTGGAGTTGAACGAGCGAAAGTGCCAGGAGGCCCTCCGTGTTGTGCAGCACGAACTAGATCTCGATGTAGCGAATGGCCGGCTCTCGCCAGAACACCGCAAACGGTGCCTGGGGCTGGTTTCTGTTGTTGCCTACGACTGCGATCTCCTTGCCGCACTGCGTGATGTCGACCTGGTAGTGGAATGCGTCCATGAGGCCCTTGATCTTAAGAAGCAGGTCTTTTCTCGGTTGAGTGCAGTGTGCCCGCCACACTGCATTATCGCGACGAGTGCCTCCTCGCTGAGCATCGGGGAACTAGCAAAGACGACACGAAGACCGGAGAAGGTGATTGGCATGCACTTTATTCCCCCCTCCGATGTCACACCCTTGCTGGAGATTGTGCAGGGGCAGGACACCGATCGGGTCACCGTGCTGCAGGCGATTGCTGTCGGCCGGCTATTTCGAAAAGCTGTAATTGTTTCTAATGACACCGGTGTGTGCTTGACGACGCGACTACTCTCCACCGCGCTGTACCAGGCGTTTGCAATGCTGGAGGAAGGTACGTTCCCCGTCGAGGTGGACCGTGCGTTGCGCCGCTTTGGCTTCCGTCTCGGTGTGTTTGCGATAGAGGACCTCGCTGGGTTGGACTTCACCGCGAAGATCCGTGCCGCACAGCAGCAGCATGGCCGTTCATCGTTACCTGCTTCCGACGTGTTCACCATTCCACAGCTGCTTGTGCAGGAGGGGCGCCTTGGGCAGAAGACGGGGCGTGGGTGGTACAGCTACGAGCGTGGTGGCCTGCGCAGCACTCTTGTTGCGGCGCTGCGTGGCACGAAGCGAGAAGAAGCGGTGGCGGCGTCGTGGGGCGTGTGGCGCAAAGGCGGCGCCTCGCTGCGGCGCACATCGTACCCCGATCGCGCCGTTGAGCTGCTGATCCTCGACGTGTGCAGGAGGAAGGAGATTATGCGCCGCGACATAAGTGAGAAGGAGATTGTGGAGCGCATTATTTTCGCCGCCATCAACGAGGCGGCAAAGTTACTGCAGGAGGGCGCCGTTTCCAGTTCCGCGGCGGTGGACGTAGCGATGGCGTTCGGCTACGGCTTCCCTGCCTGGAAGGGCGGCCTCTGCTACTACGCCGACAAGTTCGGCCTCGCGAACGTGGTGCGTCGCATGCGCATCTACAATCGTTCCTTTGGCAGCGCCGTGTTTCCCCCACCGTGCGATGCGCTGCTGGAGATGGCGACGTCGCAACAGACCTTCCGCTCGATGTGGCCGTAACGGGG